TTGGGCATTTTGCCATTTCGCATACATTCTAGGATCGCTGGTTTCTCACTCAGAAAAAAGTTACATCTGTCGTCCTCATCCGCGAACACCCGCTCTTTGTTGACGATTTGCCACTCTAATGTGGAGTCTGGTTTTCCCTCATCCTTCTGCCAGTGGTATGTACTGAGAGTGGTCGCGTTTTTTTATTTGGAATACTAATGCTCATGTTATGATTATAAAACCCCCATTTCCATTCCCATTCGACAACACCAATGTGGAATGTGCTCCCGTACCGAGGCCTGGTAGATAACATTTTTTCTTAGACATATCATTCCGGGCGGACATTGTTGCTTAGCACAGCATTTGCGCATCTTCCCAATGCTGGATAGGTTGTCACTGGCCGCCATTATGCGCCGTTATGTGCGTAATCATCTTGGCCATGTCACCAGAGCTGTTATAAATTGTTTTTGTTAAACAATTTTTGGAGCAATTTGTCGCCAGCAAAGTCCTTATCTATAAAACTGATAAAGGTACAGGCGATATTCATTCTTACAGCATTTGTTGAACCAAGTTATTTTTTTTACCTAGGGTTCGTTGCGATTATTAAGTAAATTTTCTACTTCATAAGCGAACGAATGTGATTGTTCTTTCATTCTTTAGCGTGTTCGTTATGTCCTACCACTACCTAAAAAAATAATGATCTATTCCGTTTAGATAACGAGGAAAGATGGAAAAGACATATCAGAGATGCTTTTTTGTTTTTGTTTTAGTGAGAACAAGAAAGAGAAATAGAAAGAGAGAATGGAAAAAATAGAAGGCGATAAGCTCTCATGTGTTTAAAGTCTACTTCAATGAAATGAAAAATCTTGCCAATTTTAAAACGTTTACCGTAGTTTTCGGCTTACAAGACGCTGCAGTTGGAAAACGCAGCCTAATATTGGAAAGAATTTTTTTCAAAAAGTCATTCTCATACAACAATACATTCACCATGCGTCCCTCACATATTGGCCCCAAGTATTATTTACATTAATAACTCGTCCGATTTCCTTTGTATGTCAATGGCATACGAGTCAAAAGCAGAAAGTCTTCCGCCTCTGTTAGTAAACAGAGCATGTTTAAGCTTATGGCTCGGCCCCAGGAAGGTTTATAGTCTTGGAAATACTTGTAACAGCTAAGTACTGAGATTACATCATGTAAAAAGGTTGAATTATATAGCTAGCTAACATTATAGTGTAATCACTCAACATACAAATCCACGTCGCTATCAGTCAAGTCAATTAGGTGATCGTCCAAGCTTACTTTAGCCTGGGCGTTGTCTTACATTCGACTTGGAAGACGCACACGTATTTTTCAGGGTATTTTTTAGGAAAAAAGTGCGCCGTGTAAGCCGGAAAATATGGTAATTGGTACCTTCTTACGTCTTTAAACAATGGCCTGCATTCATGCATATGGATTTTATTCAAATTTTGTTAAAGTTCTTAAACTGAATTATTTAACGATGCAATCTGGGAAATTCCACGGGTATTTTATAGTCTCAAAACTCGTAAGGAACTCTATTTAACAATGAACTTAAGAATTATGATTCATCAGAAAATTCAAAAAGAAAAAACGAGAAATTCTTACAAGTGCTATTAGTATTTATTATGACTGTAAATGTGATTTTTGTAGGGATACGTGTTTGAGTTGAGATCGGTATTTTCTGTTTTTTTGAAAACTTGTAATTATTTTCAACCGGCCTTGAACGATAGAAAACATGTTTCTGACGAAAGAAAACATGTTTCTCCTGACATGGTTCTTGAAGATGTCAGTCTGGGGAGGTGATACCAGTGCCTCTTTGAGTAGTGTCTAAATACCCCGGGTTAACACAAACCTTGTGAGTGAAACTGGATGGATAGATAAGTTCGAAAGCCGTCATTGGTTGCGTAAGCACGAAATCGCAAGTCATTGTGACCGAGTGTTTGAGCATACGTTCATGTTTAAAAAAAAAACAACAAAAAAAAAAACTGTTGATCACACCAGATTATACATTACATCCCCATTTCCAAGTTTCTGATACCCCCCCCCGCCCCAAAAAACCCCTCCAGTCTTGCTCACAAATCTAGACATCGGGTCATCTGACTGAATTATATGGTATTTTCTACCATATTCGGTAGTCAGTCCTCCTCTGCTCTATCCCCACCCGCCACCAAGTAATTGTGATCATGTGTTTGAGCATACGGTCATGTTAAAAAAAACAAAAACAAAAAAAAAACCCCAAAACTAAACTGCTGATCTCGCCAGATTATACATTCTCCCTTAAGGTGTAACCTAAGCCTGATCAGCCGAGTGGTAGTGCAAACCACTTGTGGGCTCTGTGGGTGTTGAATAAACACAAATGTACCTGAGCAGGCTTGTAAAATCAATATCTGTCTATTATTATCATATTTTAGAATCGAAGTAGTTTTAATTACTGATTCGTTTTTTACGGTTTATCAACCGATTTCAGGTTATTTAAAGTCATAAAATATCTTCAGATTGTAAGAATTTGTCTTTGAGTTATCAATGCTTTAGAGATACAAAACTTACTAATTAACCTATAGCTGGGGGAGAGAATAAGATGTGAATTCATTCCTCTCCTAAGTGTATTTGTTCGTAAATGTATATAACGAACCCAACCGCAATTGAAACTCGACTCTCTAATTAACAATTCCGAGCCATTATTCATTACACCACCCGCACATCCAAGCTTACAGCACCTGGTATTGTCAAGGGGTCATTCATCTAAGTACTAACCAGGCTCGACATTGCTTAACTTTGGTGATCGTACGGGAATCGGTGTTTCATTGTGATATGGGACTATATATATATATATATATATATATATATAGCGTATACTTTCTTAATATGTATATATAGAAAAAACAATATATACAGATATGTATATAAATAAATATATATACATATGTAAATAAATATAAAAAATATATATAAAAAAAAATTTAAATAAATACTTTCATAAAAAACATTATTTTTTTAATTTGCAACTTTTTAGTTGTTTTTTTATATATATATATATATATATATATATATATATATATATCTGTCTCTGAGTGTGTGTGTGTGTCTATATATTGATGTAATAGGAAAACATAGTTAGATTAATGATCTTTAGTTCTTTAGTATTTATGTTTTTATTTTTAAAAAACAGTGCTCGATACAGAAGTAGAGCCTAAAATAATGATTATTTTTTTTTTAAATATGATTTCATCGCGACACAGAAATTACTATGTTTCGAAACTGACACAAGTCCTAAAGTTTAATTTCAATATTAGACTTAAAATTTAGAGCACAGTTTCATTCTCAAGCGATGTTTAGAATAACTAACTGAAGAAATGTTTTACTCATTTATAGGTTGGAAATGCAGGTGTAATCTGGGGTTTTCTTTCGTTATCAAGCGGTCACTACTTTGACGAATGTATGAATGTTTATTATATGTCAAATTTTGGGAGTCATGTAAGGTTGGGTTGTTTTTTTTTATGCGCGGCTATAATGTCATTTTTGTATCAGGCTCTGTTGTTTTTATTACTATCTGTTTAAACTTACTGATTGATGTTCTAGGGGCAGTCTTTTTTTTCGGGGGGGGCGTATTTATTTACTTTTTCGTTGATGTTTTCTTAAAGGGGTGCTTAGGTATGATTGGGTTGTATTTTAAATCCTATAGTTTTATATCTGTCTGAAATTAATTTAATTTGCTTTATATATATATATATATATATATATATATATATATATATATATATATATATATATATATATATCTGTGTGTGTGTGTGTGTGTGTGTGTGTGTGTGTGATGAGAATGAATAGGGTACAAATCCAAATTGTTTTATGTAGGAAACTCACAAAGCATATATAACTTGTTTAATATTTTGTTAAATTAACACCCCATCTCATTTTTTTTAGGAAAAGGAATTGTCTAGCGTGTATAAATTATGTATCCATTAACATCCTCTCCTGTTTAAAGTCTGTGCTGTCATTGACTGTCAATCTACGGGTCATGACCCATTTGTGGAAAATAATTTCTTAATTTTGGCTTCCTCACATTGATAGGCATCAAAAGACAATTGCCAATGTGTAGCGATTTCGAAGTTATATCCTAGTACACACACACACACACACATCAATTTACCAAGTAAGTCTATACGTTTAAATTATTTACTGGTTTCTTAAAGAAGCTATTTATTTATCAGCTATAAAAAAAAAAAAAAACTTTAGGTAGGAAACTCACAAAGCATATAACTTGTTTAACATTTTGTTATATTAGTGCTCCACCTCATTTTTTTCTAAGGAAAGGGAATTGTCCACTGTGTATAATTAATGTATGCATTACCATCCTATCCTGTTTAACGCCTGTACTGCCAATCTACGGGTCATGAGTCATTTATGGAAAATACTTTGTTAATTTTGGCTTCTTCACTTAGTTTAAATGTAACGTCAGTCATATTTGATTGGTAGATCTGTTTAAAGCCCACAAACCTTATAACCCCCATTCTTTTTCTTTTTTCCGTAAAAAAGAGGTTGTATTTTTCTTTTAAACCTAAATAAATCGTTTACTCGCCAGTAATTTACGATCGGCTGATGAGATGCATTGATACGTATCGAAACACGACTGCATTTGTGTAGCGATTTTGACAGGTTTTCGATGTAATATCTTAAAATAAATCACAGACACACACACACACACACACACACACACATATATATATATATATATAATGGACTCTCTCGTCGTATTTGACATATGAGGGTCAAGCAACTCAGTTCCTAGGAACCGACAGCCAGACACCAGCACATATGATTTGATTATAGTGGTGAAGGCGTTGTGCAGAACCAGCCAAAACACACAATATATATATATATATATATATATATATATATATATATATATATATATATATATATCCGAATGGTATCAGCGCGAAAATGGACTATAAACTCGTCTCTTCCAAACTGTTATTCATCACACCACTTGCTCATCCAAGCTTACAGCAATTGGTTTTCTTAAGTGGTCAAGCATCTTGGTACTGACTAGACTCGACGTTGCTTAACTTCAGTGATCGTACGGGAAGCGGTGTTTCAATGATATATGGCTGTAAGCCGGACTGTTTTCAGGCTTTGCTACATGACCTAACAAACTCTCGTGATACGAGATAAGAATTCGAGACTTCGAATTTTTTTTTCTCTGAATTTCTACATTTCGGTTGGGCGAACGTTGTAGAGATGAACTAAAATGATGTCAAGAAAAGAAAAACAAAATTTAAAACCTCAAAAAAAGAAAAAAAAAGATAAAAAAAAAGGAAAAAAATGAGTAAAGAATAAACAAAATGGCCGAAGTTAAAATAAAAATAAGGATAAAATAAAATAAACTACCTTCTTTTTCTTCCGTAAGACGACCTTTACGCCGTCCACCGAAACGCTTATATTAACTTTTTTCTTCTTGATCGCTTTGGCTTTGAACTCATACTGTCAAAAGAAAAATGGAAAGACAACATTAATAAATAATAAAACGGAATTTATATTAAACAATCAGGAAACACTGTCGTTACCTCAGTAAATAAAATATTAGTTGATTGATTTCTTTTCTAGGGGATATCAAACATTTACCGCTTATTTAAAATGGCGTAAGGAGGAGTAATGGATAGCGGCTAGGATTGAGGAATCGGAGAGCCGAGTTCGAATTCCAGTCGAATCTCTTACATTCACTTATGTGCGAAAGGTATGGATCCTCTTCTTCTTTCCTCTAGCTATCGGTAAATAGAGAGACTGGGTTCTATAGCCTTGGCTGGCAACCAGTCTAGGAGATGGACAACTCTGAATTCACATCCTGTGCACAAGGTTGTGTAGTAGGCTAAAAACTTGCTTGTTACATCAACCGCAAAAGAATTTAAAGGCATTATATATATATATATATATATATATATATAATTTAAATAAAAACAGACCACTTTAAGGTTCCATGTAATAAATTATTTCACCACAGCCCTTTTAAAGGGCTGCGGATCATCAGACTTTACTTCCAAAGGTTGAAACAAAAATGAAAAGAAATTTACACATTTTTGACGGGCCGTATTAAACATATGTAAATTAACGAAGTGAGGAAGTGAGTGGGGAGAGAGAAAACATGAGTGAGTTAGCAGACATTGACACATTCAAACGGTTAATTCAACCTTTGGAAGTAAAGTCTGATGATCCGCAGTCCTTTTAAAAGGGCTGTGGTGAAATAATTTATTACATGGAACCTTAAAGTGGTCTGTTTTTATTTAAATTATTTGCTCTGGATTTACATTGAGCTCTCTGGATTTTATCCTCCTTAGGTTTACCCATACAGATTACCTTGTTTTTCATAAACTATATATATATATATATATATATATATATATATATATATATATATATATATATATATATATGAAGTGGGGACCGATTCTATATTACAATTAATATATAAACTGAACCCTGACTTTATGGACAATGTAATTTCTGCTTATTTATCTTCCCGAGAAACGTCCTGGATATGGCGACAAACTACGTCCAACAGCAAGGTCTCTGATCAAGCGGTTTTGAGGAATGTGCTGGTGTTCCCAGGTTTCATCCTGACTACGGGTGGTAGCACCTGTTAGGGTCCCAACTATGGGCAAATAGTTAACCCTCAAACTGGGGTCAAAACACTATGAAAGTGTAAAAATAGGTTTTAATACCAGCAAGACATTTTTGAGGAAAAATATTACCAGAAATACATTTTGAAAAAGGAAAATATTGCTAGCATTAAAAATCTTGTCGGTATTAAATAACCCATTGAGGTTGATATACCGTAACCCCCCCCCCAAAAAAAACCCCCAAACCAAACCAAACATCCCAAGAAAGTAAATAAATCTCAAAGACATGCCCGTGTATTTAATCAGTTGATTATTGATTGATTCCCAAGTCATTGCAGGTTATTTAAAGCCAGAAAATATTCTTAGATTGCAAGAATTCTTATTTTTTTGGGAGTTAATGATTTCGTGACACAATTCTTACTAAGAGAGAAGATGTGGATTCATAGCTAATCAGAATTTGATAAACATATAAAAAATGATCGCGTGGATATTAAATGGGGGATCATTTCTATATTACAATCAATATATAAACGGATCCCTCACTTTGTGACCACGGTAGTTTTCATTTATAGTTCAGAGAAAGTAAATAAAACTAAAAGACATATCTGTGTAGCTAATGAGTATTTTATTGATTCGTTATTTACGGTTTTTCAACCCTTTGCAAGTTATTTAAAGCCAGAAAATATTCTTAGATTGCACGAAATTCTTTTTTTTTTTTTTTTTTGAGTGGGGGGAGATAATGTTTTCGCGATGCACGTCTTACTAACTAAACAATAGCCGGAGGAGAGACGGATTCATACCTAATCAGATTTTGGTAAACAAACAAGAATTAATAACGTAGATACAAAGTGGGGGATCAATTCTATATTACAATCAGTATATAAACTGATCCCTCTCTTTTGGGGCCAATGTACTTTGTATACGTTCATATTCCAGAGAATGTAAATAAATCTAAAAGACATGCCTGTATAACTAATCAGTATTTCATTGATTGATAAATTCGTTTTCCAAGGATTATCATGACTTATTTTAAGCCAGAAAATATTTTTAGATTGTAAGAATTTTTTTTTGATATAATAATGATTTAGTGAGACAAATCTTACTAATTAACCCATAGATATGGGGAGAAAAGTGAATTCATAGCTTTCCCAAGAGTATTTGCGTGTAAGTGAATATAAAGAACTAGACTGGAATTCGAACACGGCTCTCCGATTAACCTTTATACATTACCACAAACCCCACATCCACGCTTACCGCACCTGGTACTGACCAGTGTCGATGTTGCTTAACTTCGATAATCGTACGGGAATCGGTGTTTAAACCTGATGTGGTATTTATTAAGCCATTGTTAGTTTGACGAGCGTATGAACTTTTTAATACCGTATATATCCGTGTATGAGTCGACTTTATGTATATTGCAAACCCTAATATTTTGGCATGAAAAAAAAAAGTTACCTGTCAATAGTTCAACCGGTAACCTCTTAAAAATATCCTGTCTATGGTGGAACCCCTTATTTTTTTCTTGTATTCTTTACAGAATTCAGACTGTTATCCTCATCTTCATTGCCATATTCACAACGTTTCGGCTGTTGTACTTTCCGGCCTTCTTCAGGTGATTCGAATTTCGAACCGAACTCTTTATTTAGTCCACCGGAGTAGATTGTTCTAGTCCCACGTGCCATGCCTCTTCCGGATGTCTCAGTTATCTCCCTTTAATTCAACTTTCCAAGTTTTGGTTCACCACTGCTGTGGCCTGCTATTGAACTCACAACTCTTTGGGTCTAGTTACTGGATCTATCCACTGGGCCATACGTCCTTGAAACGTTGTGAATATAAAAATGAAGATGAGGATAACAGTTCGAATAATATAAATAATGCAAATAATCATAATACCTTTTTTTCCGTAAAAAAAAAAAATGATTATATAAAATCGTACAGCATTAGAGTATATACAGTAATCATTTCATCCCAAGCAAGGCGATAAAGCCACTAAGATGCAAGAAGTTACTGAGAGTAAAACAATTCAAAACTAAACGTTATAGAGAAGAAAGGACAATAAAATGACAGAGGAAGATTTTTGCCGTTACATTTGATTTTTTTTAAGAACACCGTTAAGCCAGAAGAAAATTCCACGGACGAGAGAAGGAACTACATGAATAGAACTTACGGTTGCATCTAGCTATTTCAAACGTAAAAGGATGGAGCCTTGTATCCTAACTACTAATCATGTGTGGCATTTAAGCATCAACTTTGAGCTCACTAACATATGACAAGGATAAGTCTCCACAACTGAACCCAAAAGAAAGAACTGAACCCGTAAGAAAGACAATATGCAAGTGGATTCGGGATATTATTCATTCAGTGTTTTAAACACACAGTGAAGCACAAAATATATGTCCACAGGGCGCAATGTGTCCATAAAAGCTTAGCAAAAAAATATTGTTCTTCTTTTTTAGGAAATAAATATTGTTCTTCTCCATGACAACGTGAGACCGCATAGAACAAGGATGGTACAAGAAAATTATTTGGGAATCGGCTGGTTTGTTTAATTCCACTAGCCATATTTACAAGACCTTAACTTTTCGATTAACTTTTTCGATTGCATCAAAACCTTTTGATGGGGTAAACAGTTTCAAGAATTTGGAAATGAATTCACAAGATTTCGGTAAATTTCCTGATAAGTGGCAACAAGTCATTGCAAATAGCGATGAATATATAATTGAAGAAAATGAAGTTATAATTTATTTTTTGAAGAATAAATTTAATAAACAGAATCGGAAATGAGTTTTATATTTTTCTTTAATTAGGGTCGTTTGTTTGGCACGTAATCTTCGCCAATTCATTGCTGTCGTCTGATTATAATGCAAAGTGAAATGCCGTCAGAAAATTGAAAGGAAGCAGATGATCAACTATTAATATTGAAAAAATATTTCGCTTGCAATTTTTTATTAAAATATCCAAATGAAAATAATTGAAAATAGATCTCGGAGAAACGAATTTTCATTATTTTAGTTTAAGTATTTATCAAATTATTTATTTTAATTTATTTATTTATCGGGTTAGAATTAACGAAGGCGGATCGATCTATCAATAGGATTTGCCAAGAGAATCTCTGCGCGTATTGCAATAATTTTATTCAAGTGACTGGTGACCAACGAACATTTATATAAAGCTGTTTCATAAGATTTGTAATGCGATGTTTAAAATCCATCTCTTTTAAGAAGCCGCGTTCATTGAGACAAAATACTTTAAATAATAGATGTTATAACCTTACGAAGGTCTTTAACGCTAGGATGGCAAAAAGTGTCGTTTTCGACACCTTCAAATTTTCAACAAATTCCTATGGAATAACTAGTTTTGGTTCGATGCTGAGGTTCGGACAATTATTGAATTTTAGCAAAGATGCTTAACAGACTTAATTCTTTAAAAGATATTCAGTGGAATAGCTGATATTTGAGGTTTTTCCCTTGAATGGCCGAGGTGTCGTTTTTGACA